AAACAAAATGAAGAAAATTTTAATGTAGCTTGTATCGTTATCATGCCACAGTATCGAAGACAAGGGTATGGACGAATTCTCATCGAATTCAGTAAGTGAAAACTATATGGACCTAGGCGTTTTAGCATATATCATGTTTAGTTTATTTTTTCAGGTTACCTTCTATCTAGAATCGAAAGACAACCGGGAACCCCGGAAACACCCCTTTCCGGCTTGGGAAAAATAACGTACGATGCATATTGGAAAGGTGTTATTCTAGAATATTTAGATAAACACAGAGGCATTGACAACATATGCATCAATGATGTTAGCAGTGAAACTGGTAATTTAAAAACATTTTATTTGAAACTTTTTAATCAGAATTTTGACAATCATAATATTAATAACAATTTTAATTTAGGTTTAATGAGACAAGATATTATAGACACGTTCAAATCTCTACACATGGTTGTGGAAATCTTTAAAGAAATGACCATATGCATAGACTGGAATGTTGTAGATTCCCACATAAAGAAGACAATTGAATCAAAACAAATTCATATCGACCCAGATCGATTGAGGTGGACACCGTCAAATTTACCGGATGGCCAAGTTAGTTTTTTATGATAAAAAAAAAAAAGATTTTAAATAATTATAATGTTTTTTTTTAGGATAACCAACATCTTGAAGAATCAGTTTTCATCAAGTGCATTCCAGGTGGCTCACCCTAGTGTACCTGTGTGCTGCTGGCATGTATCCGGATTACACGCGGCTCACGAATGATGCGATGGTGTGCCCGGTGGCACGTTCGCCGAGATGCACGTGGTCGTCCACGCATACAAGTTGTCGTGGACAGGTGCGCCTTGTACGACGTAACCGATTACGGGTGGCTGTGGGTGAGTGCCGTCGGCGGGTTTTCGGTCGCGCACATAATCGGACTTGGCTGGCTGCTGTCCACCATCAACTGCGAGCTGTTCTTGGCCAACTACCAATCCATACCTAACCGCGCGGTCATCACTATCACGCTGACTGTTACGATGTTCCTGGCCCTAAATATTTACCCCGTGCTGGTGGACGAAGGTGGCATTATGTACCGCAACTATCAGATTTTCGTCTCCGTTTGGCCTCAAGTCCATAGTCACCTGCTTCCTGTGAACGAAGGCACGCGATCGAGTTAAACTGCTGATGCTGGAGGTGATGTGGATTGTGGGTCCATGGCGATGACAAGTCGATTTGTACGAGTACGAGTCGAGCTTCCACACGATAGTTCTACGACTTTGGACTCGCGTCGAGTGTGCAGAACGTTATACAAACATATTGCACATAATATACAATACAATATTATAATAGAAGTGGTGGGACGATCTGCTGCAGGAGAAGGACTCGCCCTGCTTTTATATTTTTGGCATTTGTCCGAAAATACTGCAGAAATATCGTTTATTTGGCATTAAACTCAACGGGTAAGAAGAATTTTTCTGTGGAAACACTGTGTTTATCAATTTTGGTACAAACAAAGTATTCCACTTTTCAAAAAAGTCAACATAGATTGTAAACAATTATTATTCTTTATGCTTTATTATCATTGTTTATAGTTGCTAATATTTTACACGTGTATAATATGCTGTATATTTTTTATATAACGATAAAAAAATTATGTAAATATATCAGCTATATGGACATTTTAATACTAATTGTAAATAATATTTTGTATATCAATCAATTTGTCTTTATTTTAAACATAGAATGTACATGATATTTGATATACATCCAAGTAAATAGACTGTTTGTTCTATTATAATTTAAAGTAAAAACTTTTTACATACGTCATTTTTTCTTTAGTAATGCATAATATAATCAAAATATTTTAAGTAATTTATTGTCTTTTTATTTATATATTAATTACAATATGCCATTTATCTATTTTTTTCTGAGATTTATTATTATTTTTTTTCCTGGAATAGAAGTATACTGTAATTAGGTATAGTAGAAAATTACTATTCTGATAAAAGTAAGATTCTTATATTTTTTTTTCAAAGAAAGTATGCTGATGTCTGTTGATTAGTGATTACTGAGAAAAAAAGGTTAATGACCAAATCATTAATATTAGTACTTATTATTAAGGTTAAATAAACAGTTACATATTACTGTATTATATACTGGGTAACTTTTGAACTTGGACTTCTTCTTTTCACAGTTAACTGTCCTGAATACCTGACAAATACAATTATTTTTCGAGTATTAGCTTAACTTGTATTATGTTAGTATATTACATTATATTTTCTAAATATACCTAGGTATCGGCTATATTTAATTAATGACACATAGTTATTTATTATATTCCCACTTTAAAATACCTACACAAATTAAAAACAAATAATAAATTTTAAACTGTAATTTAGTACCTAGGTACAGCAGTACAGTACTACAGTTTATTGTTTATAATCTAAATCTCCAAAAAAAACTTCGGAGAAGTAAAACAAGTCTTCTGTGCTTTACTTAAATGGATTGGAGTACTTGCATTTTGAGGTAAATAAAAAATTGAAATCAATATCAAAATTCTGTGCTTAGTAGGTGCAAGAGAGAGTATAAAGAAAGTTCCTGTTAAAATTGTGGTAAATAAAGAAGTGAAATCAAACCTCAAAATTCTGTGCTAAAACTTAATTGACTATTGAAGAAAATTCGATGACATGCAATTTTACCACATTTTTAGCTACAAAAAAAAATTGCACAGAACGAAGTGCATCCATGACATGTGAATATTTGCGGGCAAATGTGGAACGTTCTGTGCAATTTTTTTTGTAGCTAAAAATGTGGTAAAATTGCATGTCATCGAATTTTCTTCAATAGTCAATTAAGTTTTAGCACAGAATTTTGAGGTTTGATTTCACTTCTTTATTTACCACAATTTTAACAGGAACTTTCTTTATACTCTCTCTTGCACCTACTAAGCACAGAATTTTGATATTGATTTCAATTTTTTATTTACCTCAAAATGCAAGTACTCCAATCCATTTAAGTAAAGCACAGAAGACTTGTTTTACTTCTCCGAAGTTTTTTTTGGAGATTTCAGCTATTTTTCTGAAGCAAGAGACATTAATTCTATATTGATAATGGTACTTTCCTGTTATACGAGACTACGGCTGTTATCGCGACTACCACCCAAGACTACCTCCGTTGTCGAGACTACCGCACTTATTTTGTGAAACATCACAATCCTGTTATCTAAGACTACCAAAATGGTACTTCCTGTTATACGTGACCACCTTTATTTTTCTTGCCTTCTTTGATAGATTTTTTAATAATATGTACTTTGGGGATGGCCAGAATGAAATAAAGAAAACATTTAAATACATAGTAATTATTCGTAATGTATTTTACATGTTACACGTCAAAGTGCCAAATTTGGCGCGATGTATGGAAAACAATAAATTAATAATAATAATACAAAATGGTAAATCCACAAATAAAATAATAAATAATTTAGGTACGTATTTTGGGGATGGCCACATTCAAATTATATAAAAAAAAATGTAATACATAATAATTATTTGTAATGTACCAAATTTGTCGCGGCATACGGAAAACAATAAAATAATAAAATAATAATAATAATACAAAATGATAAATCCACAAATATAATAAATATAATCGCAGCTTATGGATATCGTTCGACTATAATGTCAGCTAAATAAGATAGGTAGTCGCCATAACGGAGGTAGTCTTTGGTGGAAGTCGCGATAATAGCCGTAGTCTCGTATAACAGGAAAGTATAATTTTGGTAGTCTTAGATAACAGGATTGTGATGTTCTCAAAAAACAGGGTAGTCTAGTATAACAGGAAAGTACCTTGATAATCTATTCTATAATTATATATTATTTCTCTTATAATACTAATATGTGAGCATTTTTTTAATTGATCGGCCATGGTCTTTTAATTAGTAGTTTATGCAGTACTTGCATAAAATACGGACTCCGCGAGACAGCAGAGAAAGATTAACATACGGCCGACCGTCGGTACGTTTATCACTGTTATTGGAATAATGTACGCCGTACGGATGGTAATAAATAATAATCGAACGGACGGACAATATGGCTACAGTGCTACACACAACCTGCAGCACGGAGGCTAGCGAGCAAATGAAATAGTAATAGGAATTAGGAGTAGGAACTAGGAAGCGCGTTGCGCAGTGCGCTATGCCACACTGCCGCGCCGCCGTGCAACCAAGGTCACGCACTCACGCATGCGCATATCGTCACAACTCAACGCGGTATTGCGAAAGCGAAAAACTAGTAAATTCGACCGTTCTCCATATACGTTGCATGTAAAAATCAAAATATCGTCCGTTTTCCTGTATATATATCTCTCTGTTCACTCTGTGCTACGACACCGGGCCGCCGTAAAGCACAGAACGCTCTCTAGCGAGATCTATCGATAACGCAGACACTTTGTATGGTCAGGTAAAAATATACATTACAGAACGCTTTGTAATTTGTGCTATTCTATACATTTTTATTTTTTTATTATTTACACAACACATACCAGCTCATGGTTCAGCAGGTACAATAACAGTATGATCTATATAAAAAGAAAACATGAACAATTTCAATGAAGAATATACCAATTGATGACACTTTCGTATTTTATTTTCTATTATACCTACATAAAATATATATTATAAATATAAATTATACCTAAGTAATAAACATATATAATGTTAAACTTAAAAATTATGTTTCAGTTAGAAATTAATAAAAATCTTTAATTTTATAATTTACATTAGACATTTTGATTCCCAACAAGTTTTTCTACCTTCATCAAAAAAAAGTGAGCCGTCGCGGGACGCCTGGCAGATGTGAAACATAAAACGTTGTTTAAGTTGTTCTCTGTGTAGTTCTCTATATTTTCGCTGACGCTCTTTTTTACGAGCACTCTTCATGTCTACACTGAAATTGTGAAAATTGAAACGAAAAGTTGAATAAAAATCAGTTTATTATCAGAGCAATGAAGATAGTTATAAAATGTTACTTTTCACTGGAATTTTCGTTATGCGGTACGTGTTCTGTACTATTAAAATCTGAACAGCTTGTCGTAGGTTGGAAAGGTACATTTTGTTTACTTTTCCTTCTTTCTGCTTCAAGTTGTTTTAGTTCTTCACGGTTCTGTTCCCTGTATCGTTGTTGCCGACCTTTTTTTACTAAGAGCACTGTTATAATATACGTATTATATATATATATATATATATAATATAATATAATATAATATAAAACAGTATATATAAATAATATATTATAATATATTTAATATATTTAATATATCGATTAAGAATTATTAAACAAAAGTATTTTTTCAACACGCACATGCACATCGCGTTTTATTATACGCGATTGCCCATGACGTGTTAGATTTTTCTAACAATATATTTTTATATAATTCCATTGAAAAATGAATTCTATTTTTTCACAAATTATATTTATAACATTTTAAACTGGCCTTAATAATATCTACTAATCAAATTTTTAGTATAACCGCTTCAACAATAACAAGCGTCCATTTAGATTTTAGATCATTGAGTTAAGTTACTATCTATAGCACCACGATAAGCACCATTCGAATACCACTTATCACATTTCGTTTACTAACCATATTAAGTCATAAACATAATTTATAACTAATATCTATTAATCTAATTAGTATTTTACTTCTTCACTATCTTGTAATATAAAGACGAAGTTATACAGAGATCATTCTTATTAAAATAAACAAACTAACCTTTGGCTCGAATCAGTAAATTATGAATCGGGATATATATCAAAAGCACATGACGGAGACATTTCACTCCGACCTGCATTTTGGTTAACTTGAAATTTAACTTTTTTTCTGGCGGTGGTGCACTGTCTCGTCCCATTATATTTGTAATATATTCACTTTTAATGTCACTCATATTTCATTAGAAAATATATATCGTTATTACAACGGTCCGTTCAAACCAACATAATATACAATATACATAGACGTAACAATATAATCAACGTAATATACAATCAATTTATTTATACGCAACAACATAGGTGTACATATTATACGTTTATAAATCGTATAAAAATATATAAGCCGATACTGCGCACATAGAGAGGAAATCGCCGAGCTTCGGAGAATTGAGAATTTTTGTGGTGGGAGAACACACAGTTGCGTATCGCAAAGTTGATATCATACCTGTTTATTTTGTCATGGCTACGCCACTGTCGGTCTCACTACTGTACCGCGCCATAAGATGTTTCACATCAAAAATAAAAGACACATTATTGTTAAACCAATAGATACATTCGCAATACATTCATCGTTCCACTCAGAATCTTAAACTAAAATAAGTCAAGTTTTTTAAATATTTATAAATAGCTCAAGAGTTATATTTAAAATTGTATTTTCTCTTGAAAAAACTAATATACAAGTTTGGTGAAAAATTTAAGTCTACAAATTATTCAATTTTTAATTTTTTTATATAAAAACTCGAAAATATATTATCATTATTAGACGTTGATTACAAAAAATAATGTATTAATATAAATTGATTTTATTTAAATGATTATATTATGTTTGTAAAGTACGTGTGCCTACAGCTTACTCGGTACGGCTGTAGGTACCTACCATTAAACGTATGACTCGAGTCTTTTTGCACACGTTTACACAACAATGGTCATATTATATAAGGTACTAAGATAGTGTAGGTACTCACACATCTGTACATACGGCTGGTTTCTTTTGTTACTTCGCCAAATATGTTTTTAAGTCATTGGTTTGAAATGAGAATCTTCTAATTTTATTGGACCTAAGACGAAGCGGACTACAATTAGTATAACAGCCACGGGCCAGGCAACTTTAGCTACCATCGCGGCGGGAACGGTTACTCTGACGTCTAAGCATCAACACGTGTCAGGAGAGTCTATTGACTCATACGACGTTTCAGATGGACTACCCACCGAATTATCACCAAACGGCGACGGTACCAAGCGACTCGCACAGGGGCGGTATAATCGTGCTACCAAGATATACATACCACAACGGTGCACCGTGTAGTGTATTATCCTGATGTAGGTACCTCTGTTTAACACGGAGTACCTTGGCGCCCCCAATGTTAACCTGGTGGTGCACCACGCAATGTAAAACCTGGTTCACCATATAGTTATGTACCCGGTATACAATGGTATACACGATTGCCTCTTACTTATAGTGGATAGCGATCAGATACCGGTCGGTAACCGGAATATCACCTCGCGGCGACGGTATTATTATTATTATCGTATGGTATTATAGACAAGCATTACAACACAATAAAATTATTAACAAATAAACTTTGTAAAAATAGAACAAAATAATAAAATAAAATATAAAACATATAGTATAATATAATTAGTCAGCAATTATAGTAGCATGGTAACTTCTATGTGGTAGGATGATTTTCTATAGGGGAATATCAAGTGATCTCAGCCAGGTTAGAGCTGCATTCGAAATGTTGTGGATGTCGGCAATGGGTTTATTGAAAGCTCGGATTGGGCAATGTCTAATTATATGTTCCATTGTTTGAGGTGAATGGCCACAGTCGCAAGCAGGGGAGTCTTTCAACCCCCATCTGTATAAATTGTCTCCGCATCTCCCGTGTCCGGTTCGAAGTCTGTTCAAGGTGACCCATTCTCGTCGCTTAAGTGAGAAGCCTGGTACTTGGGAGCCTGGGTCATTGATTAGTTGATGACTGTCGGGGTTTGATAGATTCCATTTTGATCTCCAGTCGTTATCTCCGTTGAATTTGTTTTCAATGAGGTCTTTCGCTGTTAAACAGACAGGTTTCCTCGACTTGAGTCTCAGAATGTGATTCGTAGGTATATCTTTATTTATTGGGAGTTTTTCATTGCACTTATATTTATACCATTCTCTCGCTGTAGCTGTCAAGCGTCGAATATGAGGTGGATGTATGTTACATAACACTGGAAGCCACTCTTTGGGGGTAGTTTTAACTACACCTGTGATGACACGCATGGTTGAGTTAAGTTGTACATCGATTTTTGAACAATGAGCGCTATTTAGCCATACAGGGGCAGCATATTCTGCGGCTGAGTAGACCAGAGCTAGAGCAGATGTCCGAAGGGTTTCGGTTGAGGCTCCCCAAGTTGAGCCAGCGAGCTTCTGAATGATGTTGTTCCTTGTCCTTATTTTTGCAGCGGTGTTTTGTAGGTGATTTTTGTACGTGAGTGTTCTATCAAGGGTAACTCCGAGATATTTAGGGGTAGGGTTATATGCTAGTATTTTATTTCCAAATGTAATAGTTGGTTGGTGTTTTGCTAATTTGTTGTTTAAATGGAATATTGAAACTTCTGTTTTTTGTATGTTTGGTTTAAGGCGCCACTGTTGGAAGTATTTTCTAAGTTTTTCTAGATCTTGATTGAGTATGGTTTCATTATTTTCGAATTTTTCATGTTGTGTAGCTACCGTAATGTCGTCTGCGTAAGCAAATTTTCGAGAGATTGTGCTCGGTAAATCACTGATGTAAAGGTTAAACAGAGTCGGTGCCAGTACTGATCCCTGGGGTAGTCCATTATTTAGTTGTTTCGTCGAGCTTTGGGAGGCTCCTAAATGGACTTTAAAATATCGATTCGTTAGCATTTCATTTAAAAGATTGTGGAACGTCAGACATTTGGTAGTTTTCAGAAGTTTGAACAATAGACCTTCCCTCCATGCGGTGTCATACGCAGCTGTTAGATCAATAAACGCGGCTGTTGTCTTTTTCTTATTTTGGAACCCTTTTTCAATGTAGGTGGTGAGAGCTGCAATTTGATCCGTGCAGCTTCTGCCAGGGCGAAATCCGGCTTGTTCGATTGGTGTAATGGCGTCAATGATAGGTCCAATTCGGTTCAGTACGAGGCGTTCCAATAATTTATAACACACACTAAGGAGAGCGATTGGACGATAACTATCTGCTGCGTTGGTAGGCTTTCCGGGTTTGCAGATTGCTATGATTTTTGATTTTTTAAAAATTGTAGGGATTTTTGTATTTGTAAGTATATTATTAAAGAACTTCATAAGCCACGCTCTTGCTCTAGGTCCAGTATGTTTTATAAATTCAGGGTAAATATTGTCGAGTCCTGCCGCTTTTCCAGGTTTTATCATAAGTATCGCTTCACTTATTTCTTCAATCGAAAATGGGGCTGCTTGTGCTGTCCTTTCGTTGGATACGATTTTTAGGTTTCTAAGTTTTGCTTTTATATCCTTGGTGGCTTGTTTATCTGGTGTTGCTCTAGATAGGTTTACAATACGATTAGCTACGAGATTGGGGTTGACTTGATTTTCTTTATTTGCACTATGTTTGCCGTTTGCACCAAGCTTTCGGAGAAGGGCCCATGCTTTCCGACTTGAGTGTTTGAAGTCAGTATGTTCAACAAGGTTCAGCGACGGTATTGATCGACTCGCACATTGTGGCAGTATAATCGACCGAGGTATACACCAAGACGGTGCACCGCCTAGTGCGTCCTTCAGGTTACCTCTGTTTAACACGGTGTACCTATATTGGCGCCCGCATAGTGAACCTGGTGGTGCACCACGCAACGTATAACCTGGTTCGCCAAGTTATGTACCCGGCTTACAATGGTGTACACGACTGCCTCGTTCCCAGTGGACAGCAGTCGGATACCGCTCAAGTAGGATAAAAAGGATAGTTCTGGCACCACATTTACTCGTCATACTCGTCATCCCCCCCGATCCTTGCTCGTCCTCGTCATCACCGCCGCCCGACCGCGCACGTGCGCGACGTATATTTTATCCCACCCGGTCCTTGCTCATCTTTGCTCGTAATCGTATAGCGCATGCGTACAACATAGAGTTATCAGTCTCTTATCTAACAGTCATATGATACCATATTATTGTACACATACAATATTATCGTGCATATTATTGTAATATCTTTTTCCATTAAATAAATATTGAAAAAAAAATTGGTGAGATTCGATCTCTCGACCCCCGAGCTATAGCACTGACGCTTTAAACCACTAGGGCCTAGAGACTAGGCCACACACCTGATATATTGTTGATATGATTCTTAATGTATATAGCTGTATGAATATTATTGTACACATCTCAATGTAATAACTGGTTGATACATTCATGTATCAAGGTCTTATGCTACATGTTTGTATTTGTAACACATTTAAGAATAATATACTTATACAATCACAATCTTCAGGAATATACAGGCAACGACGTGTGTGTTCCGACTTACCCTATCTATTGTTAACAATAACATTCTTCAACAAGGGTCGAGACTGAACATCTCACCCCTTTGTATATTTTATACAGGAATGAAACGTCTTGTGTGGGTCCGACATAGCCTAAATATTGTTAACAACAACATTCTTCAACAAGGGTTGAGACTACACATGTTACAAATTTGTATATTTTATACAGGAATGATACGTCTAAATAATTACATATTTATAAAAATGTAACATACAATTCTGGGTAAGTCGACATTTCTTTTAAGGTTTCATCGAGCGTATTGTATTCATGAAATATCTTAGAAACCCAGATGTTAGACTAGTCGTGTTTTTAACGTTGAACCGTACATTTGTGTTATTTAGTCCTTTTTAATAGTTTTGTTTATTTAAAATTTTTTATATTTTTATATTTTATAAAATAATTATGTGTCGTGTAGTCGTCATCTCGCCTAACAGACGAATTTTACAAAATGCGTAAGTGTTAGTAATTTTTCATTATTTTTCCATATATTTATATATATATATTTTTTTATTCAGTGAGATAATTGAGTCGCCAGTCGTTCGGGGAGCTAACCCTGACACTATTATTTATTTAAGACGGTTGCATCAAGAATATTCACTTATAAATAATTCAGGTGAGAAGAAAAGGATATGGTCAGCACATGCGAGATCGGTTTCTCTACGGTGTAATGTAGAATTGAGAGTTTTGTGTATGTTGATGCATGAAAGTCACTATGATCGAACGATTCCTGAAGATGAGGTTATAGTAAATTTAAACATACGAATATTCAAATATTGTAGATAATATGATTAGATTTACTAATATCAGATAATTTATTATAGATTCAACTATCGTTTCGTGTGTTATTGCGCTCATCTATAACGATCAGGAGGCATACCCAGTACTATATCATTATGCAGTTACTATATGGACTCAGGAGAATTGCGATTTTTGATTCCGAACGCATTAGGGAAAAATTAGAAATGGATTGGACGTTAAATGTCCTAACCATTCTTACCTACTTAGATTTCGACTTCGACACTTCTCGTTTCATTCTTCACAGAATAAGAACCCAGGTGTAAATATTTATTAAAAATTAATTTACTAATAAATAATATTTTCTTTATTACCATACATCAGTTTATATTATTTCAGAAAAACTATATGCTCACTATCTTTACTCACAAAATATTTATTTTTACCTAGCATAATGTTTCTCGAAATATTTGAAAATATTTGAAAAAACCATAATTCTATCAAAGTAAATGTTTAAATCAAATGTTTCTCTCCCTCCTTCACTATAAAAATGTTTGAAATCGAGGGACGGTCGGTACCTTACCTCATGTGGCTATGAGCGCTCAGTGTGTATCCAGTCTTTAGTCCGGTGTACACACATTTCACGTTTACAGTTTTTTTATACGAGATTTTTATTTACCATAGTAGGTATTAATTATTATTATTTTTTTTTTATATTTCGTTTATGATAATCATTACCGGAAAAAATGTGAGTATTTTGTTTTATATTATTCATAAGATATTTAAGAATTACATATAATTTATTCGACTTTTAGATGTCTAATAATTCTTCGCCGAGTACTCCGATGTATGAAGGAGATGAGTTTAATCGACGTCTGGCGGGAATACCTATGGAAGGTAGTCAAAATACAGATCACCAGTCTCCAGTTGTCATTGAAGCCAACGTGCATGACATTTTCATGTATGGTGAGATGGTAAGTTTATTATTTTTTTAAATAAAATATAAAATAAATTGTTTATTATTATTTAGACTCAATCCGGAGATAGTGGTTACTCCACTGACCAGAACACGCAGGTGGAAAATCGTGACTGGCATAGAGTTTTTCTCCTTTTCTACCCTCTGCAAGTCCATCTCCATCTCGACTATCACAGAGGGAGAATAGGGTACGATCTTTGTCACCGGTTCAACCTGTTTTTCTGGAGGAAGCTTCGCCCGATATGTTCCCGCCAACAACTCCGAGGGCCTACGCACTGAGGGTGAGAAACGATCTCTTCCCGGACTTAGTTTCTCAGCCCATGGTACCCCCGGAATATAACTTGTTAATTGTCGGGGAAATTTTGAACACGTCGCGGCATTCTGGAGGGCAATCACCAGAAATGGATTGGAGAGATGACGGAAATGATGAGATGATCTGTCATATGGAAGCATATGAAGAAGATGAAGAGCTGAACCGGTGCATGGATTTATATGAAGGGGGGGAGTAATGACTGAATTATTTATTATTTTCAAAATATATATATATATTTTTATTTTAAAACCACGCATTCTATAATTCATATTTCCAAACTATATTAATATTTTGTTAGCTGGCTATGTTAGTAGTAGTTTTGGAGTAACAGATGCTTGTATTTCTTGGTATGTTAGCAACTAATTTTATATGGCTTCTTCGAGTAACCGACGAAGAAATATCTAGAGAGTCAATGGGAAGAAAATCTATTGTAAGCATGTCGATTCGTATCGTAGGATAGAGTCATTGTTATAGCAGGGTTGAAAATAAACCACTATTGTTGGTGACCACACACGTAGTTAGCTTTAGTAACATAACAACTATTTTTTCTAAAGAAAATGTTGATCAAAATAATTGAGTACATTACTTGAATCACGGTTTTATCATAGCCAAAGTCTAAATAATATTTTGGTAATACATGGCTTAACATTTTACCACCTCCAAAAATTCCAGACATCAACGGCCGCTCGGTACCCTGATCCGTCAAGCGCTGATGATCGGTCGGTGTGTATCCAGTCTTTTGCCCGGTGAACACATATTTCGTGATTACGACCTTTAGATTTTTATTTTATCAAGTATATTCTTGTTATATTTTTCTCACTTTTTTTTCTTTTAACGAATATAATATTATGTTTAACTGTGGTAAGTATTCAGTCGAAAGTATAATTTGGTTAGACACGAGAAAACGCATAATGCAGTCCGCCTTTCTTGTCCACCTTGCATTTTAGCATTTTCCTACAAGTCTAACTTGGCGCGCCATATGAAGATCAAACATGGTATGTACAGAACATTTGATATACCTATTATATTTTTTTTTGAAGTTAATTTATTTAGTTTCTTTATTAATTTTTTTCTTAAGGTATTGCTCGTATACCTTCAGTACAACATAATGAGGTAGTTGTTCCTCCACACCACAGTGTATCTGTCATTCAACCAGAACCAATGACCCTCAGTCGAATAATTCCGTATAGATATTACATAGAGCTTGCGTAGAAAATACGAAAACCGCGAAAAATTAAAAAAAAATACGAATGCAGGTAGTTCAGGAGGCAGGGTTCGTTGAGATAAGTTCTTCGCATAATAGGATCGTAGTAAATTATTTCGCAAAAAATGTATTAAATATTCGAGATTATATTACTTTTCTCGCATCAATTAAATTAGATTTAAAAAAATTATTAAAATCTTTTGTTCGAAAAAGTCCTATTAAATTTAATTTGAAACTGGAGGCTACGTATCACCGAATCAACATTGAAAACTCGTCCGAGAATAGATCATTTAAGACTTCGGCTAGGGCGATTTTCTTAGATTCGGATTTATGCGAAATAATTGATCAGGAGTACGGAAAACTATTAGAGGAGGAAGAGACATACGTTTCACGTATGTTTCTCGTACGCTTCACGGTTTACATTACAAAACATAGATGGCATCATACTAACAGTTTATAGGTATACACCTATGCTTGGTGCAGGTTATTCTGATCTCCCTGGGTGTATACAAAACAACGATAGTGAAAATAACGGTAGAGGTGCAGGTGACGAAAATTATTGAAAGCGAAGAGGGGGGAGAGAGATCAGGTTATGGAGAGAAATGGTGAGACTTATATTTCTTTACCAGGTGAAATTCAGAGAAAACGGGGGACGATAAATCCACAGAATAAAGATCGACACTGTTTCAAATGGAGTGTTCTGGCAATACATGTCACTGGTAGAAACAGGTGTCGTATCGGAAATAATTACCACCAACATTCTGAAAAATATGACTTCTCAGGTTTATCGTTCCCTACGCCGTTCAGTGAAGTCAAAATTTTTGAACGGAAGAATCCTTCTGTTAGTATTAATGTTTATGGACTGGAGAAAAATTAAACCCCCTATTAAAAACTATGTCGTATATTGTTTTTCCGCTGAAAGTCGTCGACAAGGAGAAAGAAGAACATATTGATTTACTCTACATTACGAAGGAGGAAAAAATACATTATATTTATATAAGCAATTTTTCTAGGCTTATTCGTTCTCAATCAACGGGGCATGTAGCGAGTCACGTGTTTTGTAAGCGATGTTTTACTTCTTTTGACAATAGAGAGCGTAAACATAGAAAAAATGGTCAAGCGGGGCTTGACGAGCATATGATAATTTGTGGGTCCCATAACGCAATTTTACCTGTAATGCCTAAACCCGAAGATCAAATCAAATTTAAGTCATGGGAAAATACGGTTCGACATCCTATTGTAATATATGCTGACTTCGAAGCGCTGTTAGTGAAGACCGATGAGAGTAGGGGGGATAATACAACGGTCATGCATAGACATAAAGCTATGAGCTACGGATTCGTGATTAAGGCGGCTGATAACGTATCAAAGAACTTTTAGATAAATATATGATTCCGACAACACCGGTTATTTACCGAGGAAATGTAGACTGTGAGGAGGTAGCCAAACATTTTGTAGACGCAATCGTAGATGTAGGTAGGCGGATAGAAAAGTTACTGAAAACTAATATAACATTCATTATGAGCGATGAAGAAGAAAAAACACACCAAGAGTGTAAAATATGTAATTTATGTAATCGTACAGCAGAGGTGATAAAGTTAGAGACCACGACCATCTAACAGGTAAATTTAGACAGACGCTTTGTTCTAAATGCAATCTTATATTACAACAGCCGAAATTTGTACCGTGTTACTTACACAATTTAAGTAACTATGACTCTAATATTATAATTTCTGAACTAGCTTACGATACCAAGTCTATTAATGTCATCCCGAATACTGAAGAGAAATTTATTTCTTTTTCAAAATATTTAAGTAGTACTTTCACTATACGGTTTATTGATACGATGAGGTTTATGGCGTCGAGCTTGGAAAGTCTTGCTGAAAATCTCATAACCCCAGGCCTTGACAAATTCCGCGAGACAGGCAAACATTTTGTTGCCGGAGATATGTCACTCGTTACTCGTAAGGGGTATATCCTTACGAGTATACGGATAGTTGGGGGAAATTAGATGAGGAGAGTTTAAAAGGGAAAGACGAATTTTATAGTACACTTAAAGAAAAATTAAGGCAGAGGGAAGATGTTTTATTTTCTGAATATATTTTGAAAAGGTCACAAGGTTTATCAGAAAAATGTTATTCGTGCCATCGATTACGTTTCCCATGTAGTGTCAATAAGTGCAACTCCGATCTTCTCAGGCGATTAGGGTTGTAAATTCCAAGTGATGTCAAGAGTAGTGTACAGGTATGCACAAGTTGTCATCCGCATATGAAGAAATCAAAAATTCTTCCATTGTACATATGAAATGGTTTTGAGTTGAACAGTGTTCCACCTTCAGTTACTCAACTAAATCAATTTGAAAAGCAGATGGTTTCACTTAGATTACCATTTATGAAAATATTCAAATGTCTCCGCAGTGACGGACAGCTAAAAATCAAAGGCAACGTTATCAATGTTCAGATAGATCTCACTAAGACTACATCTATTTTTCCCAGACGTGCCGACAATTTAGCAGCGGTTAAAATGATAAAAGTTAAATTGAAAAGAAAATCATGTTTTAAACAACATTATCTTTATCAAAATGTTAGACCGTCGTTAGTAGTAGCAGCATTGCAAGATTTGATTAAAAAAACCACTGTATAAAGATGCTGAAATAGACAGAGTTTGGTTGGCTCATGTCACAGAAACCACCAAGAGTATGGAAAATAGTTCGGATCTCGAAAGCGAAGGAACTGATGATATCAGATGTTAATGAATATAAATCCATTTTCGAACTGTTATCAAACGGCCGACAGTTTTTCTAAAACGATCCATAAAACAAAGAATGATTTCTGGATTCAATGAGGAATTATTTTCGCTGTGACAATCTAATATGGACATACAGTTTATATTGGATGTTTACTCTTGTGTCAGATATGTAATAGAGTACGATTTATTGGAAAATAGTCAACGTGGAATATCAAAGGTAATGAGGAACATTGTTGAGAATCTCAAGTCCACTGATATATATGTCAAAGAATAACTGAAAAGGATAGCTTCCATGTTTTCGGGAACTCAGGAAATGTCTGCACTGGAAGCAGTGTACACTTGCTTAGGTATGAAGCAAAGCAATACGTTAACTGGGTATACATTTATAAACACCAGCTATCCGGATAAAAGAACTAGAATGTTGAAGCCATTAGCAGTAAGAGAAGAAATGGATCCACAATATGATGATACTTTCTATGATGGCCTCATTGAATACTATTCGTCAAGACCTTATAGTCTTGAAGATATAACTTTGGCTGAATTTGGAGCCAATTATGAAATTCGTGGTAAAAAAACCTGCCAAGAACAATTCAGAGTTGGACACTGATATTGAAGAAGAAACAGCTTATTCGATTGACTCCATGCTAATCGGAAAACCGAACAAATGTATACATAAACGTAAAATCAGAAAAATTATACGGTATGTACTGTTTAATGTGGATAAAAATGAACAAGAATTTTACAAAGAAAATGTTATGCTATTTTTACCATGGCGCGACGAAACAGTTGATTTGCTAAATATTAACTGTAAACAAGTATATCAAACACACATTGATCGGACAAAAGACTTGTACCAACAGTTTAATAAAGTCAATAGTGAAAAAAATAAAACTGTTTATATTTTTGTTTTATTTTTTATAATAGTATATTTTTAAAGTATTTCATATTATTATTAACTATGGTGACAAGATTTCGCAGCGGCATGACGCGTCGTCGTTCGAACAACAACGACGACGACGACAACACCAACGAAGAGTATTCACAAATCGTTATCGCACCAATGTGTTCAATCGACGATCATTATAACGGTCAATCAATGTACGTATGTCGTGGACGTAGATTTTCACGCGGACGACGGACATAGAGCATCATCGTTGTATTCAATACCGCTGAATAAATTGGAAAAAATTTGTTTGTTGAAACCGTAACTGAAATAGCATTAAAGATTGAGAAATTATTGAAGA